GGATATGCTTTTTTTTGGCCACACTAGAAGAGGTTTGTTGGGACTCGAAACACATTAGATCACTCTCCTATCTCCCCTCAAAACCATAATAGAAAGTCTATAAAGAGACTTCTATGGGGGAGGAGTTCAGTAGCCAGTGATAGGAGGCATTAGAGGGCTGTTACTTTGCTAACAAATTGACTCGCCCAAAATACGAAGCGGGTAGTCTACGGGCATCGAAAATTGCCAGTATAAAGATGGTGTTGCAAAATCTCCCCTGCATGGATGTAAGTTTGGGTATTTGGAAAATGAAGATAGAGGTGGTTTAGGGAAATCCACTCAAAATCTATCACATTGCCATCCCTACTAGTTGGAGAATTGATTTTTTGGTTAACCACAACCCAACTGTACCCACTCAACACAACCTGGAAAAGGAATAGGTTAGCGTGGTTACTCAATTTTGAGTATTCACGGTGGCTACCAAAATCTACAGCATTCATTATCTCTATTTCACCCTATTATCAAATTGACGATAAAGATTAGATTAAGGGTAATTTTGTAAATAAAAAATTAATACACTTGATTACTCTATATATTATACCAAAACCCTACTGCAACTCATCTTCCTACTGCCGCCTCTTCTCCAACCGTCTCACCCTACCCTATCGCCTACCACCACCGTTCCCACGCCGTCCCCGGCTCCGTCCCTCCGCCCAAAACCCCCGTCCCCGGCTCCACCCCCACCCCACAACCCCTCACCTTGCCTCTCTTCTCTCCCCCGGATCCCTCACCCCACCCCTCCCCATCCAAGCGCAGCCATAAACTCCCGTCGCACTAGTTTCGCCGGCCTCCTGCACCAGTTCCGACGCACTAACCTCCCACCGCCACTCCTAAATCGGCCCCAATGTATCACGTCTTCTTTGCGACACCATCGTGTTCGTTCTAATGGTATTGATTCATTTATGAAATGGTATTGATATATTTATGTCATGGTATTGATTTCCTTATGAAATGAATTTTTTTGCTTTCACAGTAGTAGTGGTATTGGTTTGACTCTTGTAATGATATAGATTGTTTATATTGGTAGTTTTAGTGTAATGTTATTGTTTTTTATAATGGTATTGCTTTATTTCTGCAACGGTATTTTTGTTTTTCAAAGCGGTAGTGGTTCACTAATGGATTTATATTTATTTCTTGTTTTTTTTGCAGTGGTATTATTTCGACTGAACGAAAACAATGAAAAGATTGAGAAAAAGAAGGAAGAGAGATCTGACGGGAGATTGCGAAAGTTAGAGAAAGAGAGAGAGAAAATGATAAGTAATATATTTTTATAACTTCCTAAAATGTAATTTATTAAAAAAGTAACTAATAATTTTTTTTTCATACTTAATTTGCCCTTATTAACCATGGTATAGTAATTACCGTAATCTATGCCCCTGAAAAAAAAATGAATTAATAACATATCATAATTATATTGACTCGTTGATAACCCTGTGAGTCAATTTGATATTGAAATCCACCCAACCGGCAACCCTCATGACTCATACCATACCACTTACTTTAGTAGGGCTCAAGATAGGGTGCATAACCATGGGTTATGCATCCATCAATAACCAAATATGGACTCTTCATTTAGAAAATCCAGATCTAAGGATGGAGAATTCAAGATCATTTGTATTTTCTCTAGCTTTCTTAATCGGCTCATATCTTTTTCGTTTTAACTCGGATTTTAATTTTTTTTTGCACAGGTGGAACGAGTTCATCGTGCTATACAAAATGAGATCAATTTTCAGTATTTTTTTAGAACAAAAAATTCTGGCCTCTCGGTACCAACTGCATACCATATGGTATTTTCTTCGTTTTTAATTCGTTTTTTAAAACGTTTGCACAGAAGGGACGAGTTCATCATGATCTATTGGATCTACAAATTTCTGGGTGAACATATTACATGACCAAAAAATACCACACAATACCACACAACACCACCCTGGTACGGGGTGGTATCTTATGGTACACTATGTTAAAAGTCGTAAATGACAGTTAATATATTTATACTATCATATATTCAACCATCCTACAGTCTTGGTTTGTTCATACCACCATGGTACGCTTTTCAAACCATAGGTATGCTCTTATTTCAATACCAGTCAATACCATATGGTATAGACTGGTAAAAAATGACTCAATTTTTTTTGCTCAAAAAATATATCAAAGTAGATATCATTTTGAAGAGCACAGTTAATCTGATCTAACTATGTAAAAAAAAAAATTTCGACTTAAAATGAATGAGAAATCGTTCGTCAAAGATTAAGTAGGGGGTTAATTGCATGATTGGTCACTGAGATTACAAAAAACGTTCACGTTTGGTCACTGAAAATATTTAAATCCAATCTTGGTCACTCAAATTATTTGAATGGTTCAAGTTTGGTCACTCTCCGTCCATTTCTGTTAACTCTAGCTTACGTGGCAGTCAACTTTCATAGTTGACCGTTAAATATGTGACGTGACAATTAAAAAATTATTAAAAATAAAAAATAATCTTTTATATTTTCCACCTCATTATTACATTAATTAAAAAACAAAAAAAATATATTTTGGCTGGAAGAACTCTCGCATCTCACCTTTCTAATTTCTAATTTCTTCTTCCGAACGTATCAACTGCGGCGTTCGATTGGGAACCGGAACCTCGCGGCCTCTCTGGTTCCTCGCGCCACCTCCGACGCGGTATTCTTCGGTCCCGACGAGATCCGAGACGTAGTCATCTGATTCTGGGTCAGTGACGTAGTCGTCGTCGCCGCCGCCTTGGTCGTCTTCTAAATTGCGGCGGTATCGCTCATAAGGGTCGAGTTCATCGTCAGAGGAAAGTTCGGGCTCTTCTTCGTCGTCGTCGTCGCCGGCCGCCGGAATCCCCGGCAAGTTTGTTCCTTCGAGGGAGAGCCTGTCGCCGCGGTTTTGACTCGATCGTCGTCGAACGGAAAAAAGTGTAGGAGCAGCAGCCGATCACGAGCAGAATCGTCGACGCGTGAGTGCGGAGCGACTGAAGGGGAATCAATAAAGTAAAAAGGAAAGAAAGCAGAGTCAGCAAAAGGAAAGAAGAGAAAAGCAATCAAGAATCGAAGCTTAGTCAATGGAAGACTCACCGAGAAGATCATTGTTGATTGAGTCCAGAATTCACACCGAGGGAGAAATGGCGGAAAGGAAATCTCGATTAAAGAAACCAAGAAGAAGAAGCGCAATTGAATCAATTTTTTTTCTGGGTTCAGAAAGAATCAGGCTTTCCTGTGGAGATGGGCTAAAGAAGATGCTACTACGGAGACGCCATTTCTATCTATCTTTCTCTCTACAGATGATTCAAGAGCTGCTTCTTCTGGGAAATGAGGGAGAAGAAACAGATTTTTATACTGTGATCGGGATTATGTTCAGCACCAAGGCCGTCTCCTTTCGTGTAGCCGCCGGCGACGGAGTTAGCACCGCCGCCGAGAAGCTGAAACTGCTGCTTCCCTTCGAACCCTTTCACAACTCCGGCACCGCAGATCGGCAAGGTGAGATGCGAGAGTTCTTCCAGCCAAAATATATTTTTTGTTTTTTAATTAATGTAATAATGAGGTGGAAAATGTAAAAGATTATTTTTTTATTTTTAATAATTTTTTAATTGCCACGTCACATATTTAACGGTCAACTATGAAAGTTGACTGCCACGTAAGCTAGAGTTAACGGAAATGGACGGAGAGTGACCAAACTTGAACCATTTAAATAATTTGAGTGACCAAGATTGGATTTAAATATTTCTAGTGACCAAACGTGAACGTTTTTTGTAATCTCAGTGACCAACCATGCAATTAGGGGGAAAATTAACTAAATGGCTAAATCTCACCCTAACTTTACTATAATCGCCCTATTTTAAAATATGGAATTACTAAATTAACCTTTAACAAACAACCCTAAAGATTACAAAAAAAAAAAACCCTAAAATCCATTTTTTTGTAATTCGCCCTCGTCTTCTTCCAACGAGAGCCGCCCTCCAAACCACCTCCGCCGCCGAGACCTGCCTTCACTCCAAACCACCTCCGTCGTCGAAAAATATGAACTACATTAAGTCAATCTGTCGCCGACTGAGAGGGCTCCAATCGACCCTCCTCTGTCCTACCGCCTAAGTCCTCTAGGCTCTAGCAGCCAATATTCCTCTGTCCTGAACGGCGTCGACGCGTCGTCAATCCCCCCCAGCCAACTTCTGTTTGTGATTGCTATACATATAATCTATGTCCTGAAAATACAGAGAGGGCTGATAATTAACTGGTGTATACTTAGCGCTAACCCCTTTCTTCCATTTGCTACAATTAACACAAAAAATGGAAGCGGATTGATTAATCAATTCACATATTCCCCCTTTTCAGTGATCTTCCTTATTCCCTCAAAACCATCCCAAATTCCGCCATTGAACCTGGAAGACTAGCGAGAGTTATCATACCCACTCCGCCGCAAGAAATTGTACCAAAAAATCTCCACAAATTCAGTTATGAAATTTGGGCAGAACATGCTCATCGTAATGGGTTAATTTGCAATGATCAATTTGATGATGGGTTTGCATGACTTCTATTTTGGATCATGGGTAGGTAGGTTGCGGGATGTTATGAGAGAAACGTCAGCTGTTCGCAGTCGATTGACATGGTGGCGGCCGGCGGGTCTCGGGGGTGGTGGAAATCAAAACCGTAGTTAATGTCGAATTTGTTTGGACGGAGTTTTGTTTATTAGAATAAAACATTTTTAACAATAAAAAAAGGAAGGATAAAAGGGTAATAATAATTTGTAAGTTAGGGCGATTACGTTAGACTAGGGCGACAATTAGCAACTCCCAGAATTAAAGACTTTCCAGGAGAGAGGGATGCTGATGTCATGCTGACGTGGACAGGTTACTCATAATTACTCACATAAAGTTACTGACCTGATCCGTTCCGCAACAAATTATGTCGGGTAAGGGTTTGATAACCATACCACCGGCCAACGATATGAGTAGTTCGACAATTCCATTCCACCATGATCGCATCGCGTTGTGGTGGTCGGAAACAATTTAGCTGAAGGAAACCTCCGGTAGCAGCTACTGATATTACAGTGGCGAGCATATAAGTCGTCTTTGTGACAGTTAACAGAACCTATAATTTTGATTCGTTAGTCTTCTCGGGTAGCACATCCGATGTCACTCTTGAACCAGCTCTTCAATCGAGGCGTTTTTGGTTCCAAATGGTCAGTTAAGTTCTTCCCTTTACCTTCCTCTCTCTTACGGATTGTCTTCCTTTCCGCGGGGTAATCCGATGCTTACGATAAAGTTCATCGCTGAAACCTAAGATAGGTTGCTTCTGAAATCTTTTTCGAATTGCTATGTCAGTTCTGGATCCATTGTTGCTGGTGACTTCAGGGGTGAAAATAACTCACCATTCGATACCTTTCTACGATCCATTTGCTCTCTTCAAATGGTTCCAATAGGTTAAATGGGTCTTGAGGATGCAGTTGATCTGGTTCCCTTTTCCCCGTGGGGAATAGAATCGGTAAAAGAATGTAGTAATGTACCCTTACTGAATAGTTGTTGATGGCTGGTTTTTGTAGTAAAACATGCCTGACCTTGGCTCTCTCACGCATGAAGTTGCTTCAGAACAAGAGGGAGTTGAATCTAAAACAGATGCGCAAGGAGATAGCACAATTCTTGCAGGCCGGCCAAGAAGCAATTGCTCGAATCCGTGTACGCTTGATAACCTTTTCTTTTTCTGTCCATTTCATTAATTGATTGCTTAAGCTGCATATTTTGCATAGTGTACTGATAGACAGTTTCAATCGTGTTTTGTTCTTTCTTTGTGGTTTGAACTATATGCTTCTTTAGGTGGAGCATGTGATACGGGAACAAAACATATGGGCTGCTTTCGAGATACTAGAGCTCTTCTGTGAGTTTGTTCTCGCCCGCATTCCAATTATTGACGCTCAGAAGTAAGCAATTCACCCCTCACCCACTTGTCTAGAGAGTAGAATCAGATGAGAACGATTGCATCCAATTTAATTGTTTTCCCATTCCTTTAAGCTATACATGCCAGCTGTTTGTTAGCTTGTTCATTCTGAAAAATTCATGTGGGAGAGATGAAATTGGTAAATAGGTGGCACCTCGTGTTGGTAAAGTATTTCATTTTGGAAATTGATTTGCTTGCTCCATATCTTTTTGAACCTTTAACAATGACCACGATTTGTTCTGTGGAGGCTGTCAGCCATGCACCAATTAACTGTCTGAACCTTTAGCTGCAACCTGATCCAAGAATCTGTAGCCCAGGCGAAATATAATCCTTGTTTACAAAATAGGATGTCAATGGTGAATGGCTGTTAATTTTATTCTTCAGTTTCTACAAGTAGAAGCTAGATATCTGAATAAAGCTGGAAAGGATGCTTCATATGCCTGCCAAGTTCAGACTTCAGAGTGATCAATCTCATCTCCTAGCATGCTATGAGAATTTTGCATTCTCTTGTGATCTTTCTCTTTTGAGTGAGGTTCATAAAAAGGCTCTCAGTTGCCCCAGCTAAGATAAAACTGCAACTGTGTGCTTAAGTTATTATTAACTGGTCGATAACTACTATAACATTGGTTGATAATGACTTTTCGGTCCTAGATTGTGGATCAAGAAAGACATGGACCTTGACTCCTTCAATGACTTAAAAAATATATGCACTAAGAAAGGAAACATAAAAAGAGTGTATGAAATATGAATTTAGTACGGAACAAGAGCAATGGCATTGGTCTCAATTTGATTTAAAATTACTAAAAGGAAAGAAAGCTATTGTTGATCTGATATAGAGGTTCTTCTGAAGTATTCAACTGATTATGAAGCAAACCTTCCAATGTTAGCCGCCAAGTGTTGACTTCTTGCTACAATATGAGAAGGCTCATCATATTTGAGAATAGACAAGAGTCATTCACTTATCAATGGATTTTTACTTGGATAAACCATACCAAGTTCCCAGTTCGGCTGTAGTAGTGTCATTTTGAACTGATGCATGCATTTTCAGTACTTAAAGGCATGTCCGTAGTTGTTAGTATTGGTTACTGACAATCTCGGTGAAAAGAAGTGTCACTGTTAGCCAGTAAAAAATTGAATACTTGTGGATTTTGACTCTAGGATGTTGCAGTATGATGCAATTACGAACACCATGTAGTGGTGATTCCAGTTGTGATTATTATTTAATGTAAAGTAGTGTTTAGTCCAGGTGCGAATACTATTGAAGTGAACTGGATTGAATTGTGATAGGTATTTACTCATATATTGACAGCTCCAGTATTGTCCTCTAATCAGAATAGATTGAGCGGTCGTCAGAAAAAATAAAATTATAATTACCTCATTTAATGCATTGGCTTGTTTTTTCCATATTACTTATTGGCTCGTTTGATGGCCGATTTCCCATATCTTCAGGGAATGTCCTGCTGAGGTGCGAGAGGCTGTTGCAAGCATAATATTTGCCTCTCCAAGATGTTCAGAAGTTCCTGATCTACTGCAGATCAAGAATTTGTTTACTGCTAAATATGGCAAGGAGTTTGTCATGGCTGCTTCGGAGCTCCGACCTGACTCTGGTGTCAACCGCGCAGTTAATAAGCTGTGGCCTATGCTGACAAAATCTCTGACTTTATTATGTACTTGTATTTCTTATAATGGTTTTTGTGATGCTTCAGATCATAGAAAAACTATCAATTGGTACACCATCTCCGGAAGAAAGGCTCAAGGTGTTGAAGGAAATTGCAAAAGAGTACCATCTGGAATGGGACTCTTCTGAAACAGAAGCTGAGCTCAATAAACGGCATGAGGATCTTCTGGTATAGCTCACAAATTAGTTTCTAGTGCCGTACTGTTACTGCCATTGTTATCAACTGCAATGCAAACCTAGAAAATGATACCTAGGTAACAATAGTTTTTGAGCTGTGTGCTTCAGTAGTTGATTCGCTATTTTATACTACAAAGTAGTATTTGCATTAGTTGAAACAAAAGAGGAGACTGAAAAGAAGAACGTATCCTTATATTTCAGACTTTCAAATGGCATCTACACAAAATATGGGACTGTGTTTGATTTAAGAAGTTAATATCTCCATTTTTTTTTTGTTTTTTTTTTTGTGGATTGTCAATTGTGAATGTCTCCATGCAGTCATTTGTTTTCCAAGTAACACTGTTTGGTAATATTTAGAATGGAGTGAAACTAAGAATTAGGGTTCTGGTCGTGCTCATGGTGCCTGCTTTCTGATTACTAAACAGAGAGGGATTCTCTTTTTTATGGATAAGGAAGGATGTCCGAATCCTTATTCACACTGTTTATGATGACGTTCTTTTGTTGTTGAGTTGCATTAGTGGCAAAGAACCAAAGATCCATGATTACGGTTAACTGATCAAAATATGGCAAGTTTTCTTCCCTGGATGTCACCACCTGCTGTATCCATGAATCTTGAAGTGAGACCAAATTGAATATTTCGTGGTTGTTTCCTCGTTGTAGATCTCTCTCTCTCTCCCGTTTGTGTTTCATGGCCACTTATTACTTATTTCCACTATGCACAGATGGAGAGATTCCAGACTCTCTTGGGATTTATTTGCTCTCTATATTTCTCTGTAGCGCCAAAATTAGCCTGCTTTTTCACTCATCTCTTCTAAATTAATGTGGAGAGCAAGCTAGTCTAATCCTTCTGGTCTAGTCACATGGTTGAGTGAATGTTGTTTGTTAAGGATTATCCATTGGGTTTCAACTGCAGGCTGGAGCTAAGCAAGCTGTACCAGAGGGTTCCCATTCTCAAGTTCCCAGCATTCAGAGTTGTCCCAAGTCTCATACCAATCAGACATCCATGGACAGCAGACAAGAATATGTGCAGTTTCAAGCTTCAAGTCCCACTATGGCATCATGTAAGAAGCCCCTAGCGAAGACTGATGAAGTCAATCACCCACCACCAATCAGGAATCACAATGCAGAAAAATTCTCTGATGGTAGAAAGGGGACGAAAGCACAACCATCTGATGTCTTGGAGGTTGCTCGAGCTGCTATTGCATCTGCAGAACGAGCCACTGCAGCTGCACATGCGGCTGCTGCGCTTGTGAGTGTCAATTTTGGTTCTCTGAATCTTCAAGAAAGCAAGCTTTCTTGACGGTGGAATGGACAAACTGGGACCTGCATGCTTGAGGTTGCAAGAGTAAGATTTGAAGCCACCATGAAATATCTTTTATTTTCAGTTGTTTGGATATTATAATCCCATGAGGAAGCTAATACCAATTGTTATTGCTTTCCATACTTATTTCCTCTCTGTAACGTCGAACCTGACCACTCGCTTTTCCATCAGATGTGGAAGAAAGAACTGATTACAAATGGTAATTCATGGCCGACAAGATGACGGGGATACATGTATAATTACAATCTGTATTAACTGTTTATTGGTACATATAAGATGCAGTACCACAAACAATAGCTAAGTAAATCGCAAGTTAACCATTCATTTCATTGAACAAGGGATGTAGGGTAGGGATTTCTAAAATGTGGGATTTTGACCACAATCAGCAGGTTGGAGGAGGAGACGAAGAAAGGAGATGGCGATGGTCTGTGGAGACGCGTTGGTGATGGGTGGTGATGCCGGAGGAGAGGAAGAAGGAGATACAACGGCGGCGGACGATGGAGAGGGAGAATAGGGAGATAGAAGGAGAGGAAGAAGAAGTTAGGGATTAACGAAGAGTTAGTTGTATGAGTGAGGGCAATTTTCGGTTTTTAGAAAATCATTAGTGATAGATTTGGAAAAAATAAAATAAAAGTGAAATGTGAGATTTCGAAAAATATGGGACAAGTATTTCAAAAATCTACAATGGAGGGATTTCAAATTTCCTCACCCAAAATTCCACGCGATTCAAATGAGTAATTTTCAAATGAGCAATTTCGAAGAATTGAGATGGAATTTTCAAACGAATTCTATAATTATTTTACTAATTATGATAAAATGACCTAATTATTCTTAATTATTAATTATGTTACTCTCATCTCCAGAAAAAATCCTTAATTACCTAAGTTTCAAAAACACAATTCCCATAATACCACACTTTAAAAAAAAAATCCAAAATGCCCAAGTTTGAAGTTGTTCGCTCCCTAGTATAGCGAACCACTAATGGGTTCACAGGAAAGAAGCGAACCACGCGCAGTTCGCCTTTATCTGTCGCGAGGCACGTGGCTCGCTGTGGTTGGCCGAAATCAATTGGCCCGGTGATAGACCGTTATTTACACATGTTTTTACCCTCGTTCTTACACCGTTTGAGGTGTTGATTCTCGTGTTTTAGGCCGATTTCACGCTAGGTTGTGCTTGTTTGTGATATTTCAGGTCCTAGTACGTGAATGGAGGCTTGGGAGCGAGTCTGGGGTCGATTGGACGAAGATCGGACGAATGGCGAGATTTCAAGGAAGCTGCACGGGCAGACCATGGAATGGCACGGCCGTGCGCAGTACAATCCAGGCCGTGCGGAATTCTGCGAGAGCGAGCACGGGCAGGCTGGATTCCTCACACGGCCGTGCAACCCTGGCCGTGTGAGATGGCTGAGATTAATTGATGCGCCGCGTTTTGAGCTGCACGGCCAAGTGGGTGAATCGCGCGGCCGTGCACCCTGGCCGTGCGAGTCGGGAAATCCTGGTTTTAGAGCCTATTCCGAGCCAAAAGTGGGAGAATCGAGTTTTCAGAGCAAAAACAGAGCCCTAGAGAGAGAAAGTACGAAGAACACATCCTAGAAGCTATCTTAGAGCTGGGTTTCATCGAATCGAGCTTGGAGATCGTCATAGGAGTGAAAATCATCATCCCGGAGCAGATTTTCCTCATCGTTATGAGTATGACTACTCCGATTACTGTTTTCTCTTCTCTCTCTATGGAGTAGAACCCTTCTCTCACTTGGGTATGAAGAACCCTAGTTCCTGGTGTTAGGGATTTGATTGTAATGACTTGGGATGATATTACTGTTTGATTTTAATCGAATGATGCATGTTTATTGAATTGATTTGAGTCTGATCAGCTTTTCTCGATTTCTGCTGCAACCTGAGATAGATAGAATCTGATTAGGTTGTTAGAGTCTCTTCATTCGATAGTAGGAGATTGGTTGTACGAGAGTTAGCCAGTTTACTGCTTTGTACTGGAATTTAATTCCAGTAGTGGAGTTCTGTGTTCATAGCCTCAGCTTTCTATCCCGGTGAAGACTAGTCGTCTGCCGGGTAGTTAGACTGAGAGGGCTTGGTCAGCTTAAGAGATTCCAAGCTACTGTCGGAGCTTCCGCAGTCTAATCAACAGTAAATCAACCCAGGGGAATTACAATTGAACCTAACTAAGGGGCTAGGGGGACTCAATCCCGAGTGACTCTTTCCTGACTTTGAAAACCGAACAATTTACTGCTTTCTTACTGCTTTAGCTTTAACAGCAATCACTCGAACTAGTTTGCTAGATAATAGAGAATCACGGAGTAAGCAGTAGATCTAGACCCCGGGTTGATAATATAACTTGCCTGTTACTGCATTCCCGGACTACGATTACACTTGGTCGCAGTTTGGTGTTGTGTTTTGGCGTGTCAAGTTTTTGGCGCCGTTGCCGGGGTCCCTCTAGGTTATTGGGGAAACGTGAGAATTTGTTACTCTAGCTCTTTCTTTATTGCATTTTTCTCTTCCACCTGTGTGCCTTCACGGGTTGTTTCTGCTGACTGTGTGCAGGTAGTGCATGACCCGTAGCCAGTCGGGAGATCTACTACCATTAGACCAGGAGTTTGAACGAACTTGTAGGAACTTCAAGCGGGCTCTAAAGGCACGACTGGCTGCGGAGGAGGAGCTATCACAGCTGGAGTTAGAAGAAGAAGAAGAAGAGATGGCTGATCCACAGAACCATGACGTGATCAACCCAGAGGAGCAGACTATGGGATCCTACTGGACCGCTAGAGCTGCGGATATGAGGTCACCCATTCAACACCCTCATGTCCCAGCCAACAACTTTGAGGTGAGCACCTCAATGATCACCATGCTGCGCGGTTCAGTGGTGTTCCGTGGTAAGGAGGGAGAGTGCCCCCGATCACATCTCAGGCGATTCCACGAGCTCATCAATGGAATCAAGATCAATGGGGTGCCAGCAGATGCCATCCAGCTGAGGTACTCCCCCTTCACGCTGGAGGGGCAAGCCAAGGAGTGGCTAGACACTCGACCTCCGGGCTCCATTACCACGTTCACCAACCTGGCGGACAAGTTCCTCACCCGCTACCATCCTCCATCCAAGACAGCTGACCTGCAGAAGCAAATTACACATTTTGCTCAGGATGAGGATGAGACCATCAGAGATGCATGGGAGAGGTACAACAGTCTCTTCCTGAGATGTCCAAATCATGGCTTCAATGATGCCTTCAAGGTGGGCACTTTCTATCACGCCCTCTTCCCGGAGGACAAGCAGCTGATCGATTCGGTCTGTGGCGGGAACATGCTGACCAAAATCCCGCCACAGCTGAATCAACTCTTTGAGGAGATGGCGGAGAACGGTTATGATTGGGGCACTGCCAGGAGGTCGAGGCGAGCACCCAGCCGAGGTGTACATTCTGTGGGAGCCCATCCCTCTGATTTGGTGCAGGTAGTATCGAAGCTGGTCTCAGCTATCGATCGTTCTGGGATGATTCCAGGGACCGGACAGCAGCAGGCGATGCTCTGCCACTGGTGCGAAAGCACCCATCATACGGTGGAAGACTGCCAGGCGATGAAGGAATCAACCACACCCCAGGAGCAGGTGAACTTCATCATAATGTCCGGCGCAACGACCCCTACAGCAACACTTACAACGAGGGGTGGCGCCAGCATCCTAACTTCTCCTGGGGTGGGGCAAATTCCAGACCACCAGTCCCCCAGGGACCACCGGGCTTCCAGAGGCCACCATATCAGCCCAGGCAGGGGCAATTCCAGCAGCAACAACAGTCTCTTTATCAGCCCATGCAAGGGCATGCTGCTCATTCACAGCCGCGACCTTTCCAGCAGCCAGGTGCAGCCCCTGCTGCCCCAGTGCAGAATGATCAGATGGCTGAACTGCGGGACTTGGTGGGTTCGCTCGCCAGTTCTAGTGCTCAGAAATTCAACACCATTGAGCAGTTCATGGAGAAGGCCTCGGGAAAATTCTTGGCTCTTGAGGCTGGTCAGAGGAACACACAGGCTGTGTTGCAGGATATCCAGACGCAGCTGGGGAGCGTGGCTCAGGCAGTGGCTCAAAGGGCTCCCGGTACTCTACCCGGGCAGACCATCCCTCATCCGCCGACACCGAATGAGCACTGCAATGCCATCATGACCAGGAGTGGCAAGATGACTGTTGATCCACCTGTTCGGGAACAGGAGAGAGAGAGACCTGCTTCGGCATCTCCAGCAGCTGAAGAAGAAGTAGAGAAGGAGGTTGAGGTGCCTGCACCTAAACCGCAACCAGTAGTGAAGGAGTATATCCCTAAACTCCCCTTCCCTACTCGGTTGCACAAAGACAGGTTAGAGGCAGAGTTCGAGAACTTCATGACCATGCTTAGGAAGCTGAATGTCCAAGTGCCTTTCCTGGAGGCACTATCTCAAATGCCTAAGTATGCGAAGTTCCTAAAGGATCTTCTCTCAAAGAAGCAGAAGCTGAGCGAGCTGGCCACTGTGGAGCTCAGCGAGGAGTGCTCGGCCATTCTGCAGAACAAGCTTCCGCAGAAACAGAAGGACCCAGGTAGTTTTACTATCCCGTGCTCTATTGAGAATTTGCATGTAGAGAGGTCCTTGGCGGATTTAGGTGCTAGTAGAAATGTTATACCATATAAACTGTTTAAGAAACTAGGCCTAGGTGAACCCCGTGCTACTAGGATGAGCCTTCAATTAGCAGACCGATCTGTAGTGCATCCTAGGGGCATAGTGGAAGACCTTCTGGTTAAGGTTGGCAAATTCAATTATCATGTTGATTTTGTGATTTTGGACATAAATGAGGATGTGAATGTGCCATTGATACTGGGAAGGCCTTTCCTGGCCACCGCCAAGGCCCTCATAGATGTGCATGATGGGACCTTAGTTTTGAGGGATGACGAGGAGCGAATAACGTTTTCAGTTGCTGACACTATACCTACTTCGTTACCTCTGCATGCTGTATCTCACCAGGAGCACGAGTCTGTCGTGTATCCTTCTGTGTTGCCTATTTTGCAGGACCCGCCTCCCACACCTTCGCCGCCACTCCGGACCACTCCGTCATCAAAAGAACAGATCAAGGAGGAGTGGCGGCCGAAACTGCAGGCAACTAAGCCTACTCGAAAGAGCGCCAGAGACCACTACGAGCTGGTCCCGCCCCCACCTTGGCCATCCGAGTATTCACTCGCTTGCATCCTGCCGGATGGCCAAGTCGAGCTGGCAAATGCAGGTGGCCACATTCGTCGCGTGCATGGCCACCATTTGAAGCTCTACCTCAAGAGCGATGTGGATCCGCTCTTGAAGGCACCTGATCCTACACTTCCCTGAGCATCCATACTGGCGTCCAGCTAAAAGACGGTAAAGAAGCGCTTGTGGGGAGGCAACCCCACCGAGGTTTGCATTTTCTTACTCTTTTTCCTTTGATTTTGTGTGTTTTTGAGTCTTGAGACGTTGATCCAGAGTCAAGTGTCATTTTTGAGTGAAAACAGGTTGATTTCGGGGCTCCAGCATGTCGCACGGCCAGGTCCTCAACTTGCACAGTCGTGCGGAAATTCCCCCTTGGCCGTGCAAGCTCTCGGTAAAAGTCGCACGGCCAAAAGTGCATGTTGCACGGCCGTGTGAGTCAGCCAGGTCTGGCCGTGTGGCCGACACGGACACAATTTGTCTCGCACGGCCGTGTGGAATTTTCACCCTGGCCGTGCGAGCTCTCGGTAAAA